CTTTCTAAAACAGCGGAATGGAAATTAAAAAAAGAAAGTATTGAAAATCCTCTATATATACATAACCTTGCCTGCAAGCTGAATTCTCGCGGTATTTGTGAGTTCACAAACACTCGAGAATACATCTTGTACCGCTCCCGCTTACACTTTTCGAGTCAAACCACTGGGTGTGCGAGCCAATCACGCGCCAGTCTGGGGGATTAGGGCGGGATATCCGGGTTTGACGAAAGCAAGAAGTGCCGGGCCGAAGCAAAACAAACATGGCTACGCAGGAGGACGGACGCAAAGTCAGTTTTAGCAGAATCTCCAATTTCTTTTTTGAAAGATGAACAGCGAGAGGCGCTTTGTACATTTCTGGACGGCAACCTTGGTAGGCGGGCACACAGCGTCACTTCGCCCAATCAGCTTCAAGTATTCTGCTGCTTACCCCTCCTTTCCCCGAAAGGATTCTTCGGGAGAAATCCCAGATTGATATCGCGGAGAACGCGTTAGAGTTCTACACAATCATCAATCTGGCTTTTGCCAGGTTAATATATACAAGCTAGTATCAAAACAATATCATTATTTTTTGAGCGAGGAAAATCACATAGACAGTCTCGAGAGCACTTCAAGACTTGTTTCTTTGGCCTTTTGCCAAAATTTAGCTGACTCATTACGTTTTTGCGTCTAAATTGTCATTTTATGCTGTTGTTTACTATTTTCTCTGTGATATCTTTTTGATTTATCCCCAGTGGAGTGTAGTTGTAAATATGCGATACAAATAAACTCGACTTTTACTTCGTCTGGGCTTTATCACACCTAGCAAAAGATCACATGTCAAATCAAATGTTAGTGTTGTATGTGAAATAAATAGATATAAATTTGTCTTAACCAATGGGAATGGCTCTACAGAACTATTTTATGACAAACACCTTACATATAAATTATACTGGCCTATACTATAACTATACTTTAAGTCTGTTAGTATCAATGCACAAGCTATACCAGGATTTCAAACAGGACAAACCCTGTAGCAGCTCACTGGATGAAATGGCCCAGCGCTGCATAAATGTCCAGGTTTTAATTACGCTGCTTCCCACAGTAACTCCTAAATCAGCAGCACTTCTTCTCCCCTTTGTGCTGAATGTGTGCAGACGCAGAGCGGGTCTTCACACGGAGCACCTGGCAGCGCCCCACGCCAACTGCTGATTGGCAAAGCAGTGTGAGAGCGAAACGGCAGCACAGTCTGTTCTAACCTGAGTTTGGACATCGTAAACATTCTCCCTCTCCTTTCCCATGTGACAGCTCCTCTTTTGAGTCACACGCTTTGGCTTCGGCGCGATGACAGCACACGGGGAAAAGTGATTCAATGTGTTTATTTTAGCAGCATTAACGGTGCACACAGGGGCCATCGTGCCAGTGATCGGTGACGTCCATCAAGTAAACAGGCTCGTATTACCGTGAGAGCACCTGGTTTGAGGAATTCATGTGGAGAGTGGCAAGCAAACATGTTATGATTGACGCTGATCCCTTTGGTATTAAGTGATCGTGAGGTAATTATATTGTTTGACAGGGACAATGCACACTACATAATTCCTAACCAGAGATAGTGACTTCATGTAGTCCCAGATTCAAAATGACAGCAGATAAACAGTACGCAGGAAAACTAATATGGTGCGGTGATTAGTTCAGGAAGATTCTCATTACCTGTTCAAATATGTGTTTTATCATTTAGGCTTTAGATTATTTCTCCTGTGTTCATTATGCTTTCATACACAGGCGGAATATATGCAATTTTTAGTATACGAGACTTTATTTTCAGCCACAGTTGTAGTTGTTGGTTGAAAGAAATTCACCAATAAGAGCCATTCAAACTTTTTTTGTAGACCCATGAGCCCAAATGTTTGAAAAACTTTTGATCGGATCATTTGGATAGTTCTGTTGGCATTATACAAGAGTAAACACAGTTGTTTGTTAAAAATGGCTTTCTAAACACTATGAAGTTTTAGTGTCATATTCTTCTATGTGCATGTATTAGGAGGTGATGGTGTTCACAGCTGTAGCTCTCTTCACTGAAGGTCCACACCAAATTACGTAATTATTACATAATCAAAGAATCCACTTTAAAATATATACAAGACAACTACAACATTCCACACTCTCATATGGGAGTAGTCATCATGAGATAGTTTAGCTGTGATCCAATATTCAGTAAGTGCAATGTATAGTTTTAATATTGTGACAAATCGCAGTTTTCTAAATGTGTTTTACTCCGAGTGTTCATTATGAGAGCGGGCCTTTTTGCCTTCGCCCCAGGGTTATCTTATCCACATTGTCTGAATGACAGCCACTGCACAAGTGAGTATAAAGGAGAGCATTCTTATCCTGCCTTATGTAACGGGCCGATCGTCTTCACACTGGCAGCAGCAGCAGGTTTCTACAGAGAAAAGGCTCACAAGGAGGAGGCTCTTCAGACCAGTCCTGTGTTCGTGTCAGTGAGAAATATGTGAGAGCCAAACAGACCACTGGCTCTTCTGAAAAACAGCCCTCACATCAAAGAGAGAAAACAACATCAACTGCAATGAATAGCAACTGTTTCAATAATGTGTGCAATGATTGGAAATATGTGTATTATAATGGTCCACTATAACAAAAAACTATTACGGCCTTGCACACAGTCAGACAATTCCATCTCCTATGACTCTCACTTTACCAGGTAAAAGGTGACACCGGTGAGACTTTATTACCCTGCATTGCATCACACTGCTTAACAATCAACCTCATATATTTGCAAATCCTTGTCACTTTAATTAAGAAATCTGACCATGCACAAGGTGAGTGAACTAAAAGCAAGGGAAAACAGAGCAAAACAAATGTCATTGAATTCAAAATGTAATGTTTTATACTGTACATCCATACAAATCTGAAACGTGACAAATCTTCTCATGTTCTTCCCTGACTATAGCTTACACTATTATGTTGTTTCCGTCCTGAACAAGGTTTATCTTTGTTATATTTGACTACAAAATACACAATGATTTCAGCCCTACCGCAGACTTTAATTTGTTTATGCACGTGACCACACCAGGAGCTGAGGCAGAGGCGACTTTTAACCCCACAGCTGCTCCCTTCTCTGCCTCTTCATATTTCGGACAAATGTGTTGACAGTAAACGCCATAATCTACAGGTATAAAGACATTAATCATGAACAATGGAAGCAGTGGCTCAAAAGGAGCAGGTGGACGGTGGTGACAACAAAAACAACATTGAGCCAAGCAGCCGACTGTGGCCAAGTGATTTCTAATGTGATTTTATTACATAACTGAGCTGGCACATGTAGCTCCACCACATGCAGGGGCAGGAGAATAGACACCAGAGTTCAAGTCAAAGTCATTTCTTAAATATTTCCTTAAGAGATGGTTACAGCTGATGAGTAACCCTGTCAGCTGATGAGTAACCCTATGCAACTAATATATAGAGAGGAATGTTTGAGTCTTTAAGCTTTTTTAGCGATTCGAAAAAAAATAGCGTTTATCTGACCACTACTTCACTAAAAAGACTACTATTGATGTCAAACATTTTGGAGAAATAGTGATTATGTGGGGCAGGTTAAAAACCATACAGTATCTCCTGCTGACTCACTGCACACATTCTTATTTTGAATATATATATATATATATATATATATATATATATATATATATATATATATATATATATATATATATATATATATATTTTTTTTTTTTTTTTTTTTTTTTTTATTAGTCTAAATATGAATGCAATTAGTAGTCTAATTAACAATAAACTTTGACTAGAGGACACTCTAATCTAACTTTCATCTTTACATGGATTCCATAATGGATATTGAGAACAACACAATGAGTTCTGATATACTAGTCAAATGTCAAGTCATGATGTGTTTGGTACCACATTTGGACCCAAAACAGGCATCTCCAAATCTGTCACAGAGTTGCCAGTGCAATTTCATAACAGGGCACATTGCACATTTATTACCCTGAAGTAGATACTAAAATAAACGCCTTCTACAACCTCAGCTTAATACTTATACCTCAGCATAATGAGTGAAGTCAGGCTATGATAGATAAGGTGTAATTGTTTTTGATAAACTAAAATATAATAGATACAGTTAACATCTCTGTAATCTTGGCATTGAGACACAATCAATCATCAATAATGTCATAATGTCAATATTTCTCTACACATGCTCTCCTTGACCTGCATCAATCTGTATATCTCTATAGAAAAAAACCAAGCTCCTTTATGCTTCGTAACATAGGTCAAAGCATAAAGGAGCTAGCTGCATTACAAGAACATTATTTTATATTGTATTATTTCCCCTTTAGTGAGACTACTCGGATGTATGATCTCAGTGTATAGTAAAGTGAAGAAGAGCATGGGGGATTAAGCTGTGGTTATATAAGATGTGACCTGCCAGTGAAGGCCTTCTGATCCTGGCACAGAACGGTACATCAGCTTAACACAGCGGCTTATACCTCTACAATGACTCACCGTTCAACAATCAGATCATACACTAAATATGTGTCACCTTCAAGTGTCCATTCAACAGCTAAACAGATTTCTATACACATTCAATAAGTCTGTAATTACTAATAATGATATTGCCTCCATGCAAGACAACAGAGAGGGTAGGACGTGTGCGTATCCAATGGTCATCTATGGAAACTTGTCATAACTTTGGCATTTTTAGAGTTCGAATACGTCTTTGTTCGCACTGGAAGCTGCCGTGAGTACAGCAGCGTATCCCTCTTTGATGACATAACAGCGGAGACAATGCACGCACCAATTACACTTTGGACTGCGCACACAGAATTCACCGTAAAAAGATGTTTGTGCCCCTGTTCATGTGCACAGAAGCGGACACAAGCACGAACACGATTCTCCGAATACAGCTATTGTTTGATTGTTTGAGGGGATGAGAGAATGTATTTGTGAATGGAGCTGGGTTGGATGAGCTGGTGCCGTGATGCGTGCCTTACCTTGGCTTGGTTAATGAGAAGCCCTACAAAAGTTGACACCAGCACTGAGCCGGACACGCTGCCCTTTCTGCGCATCTCCTGTTTGATGAAAGGGAAAGCGGCTGATGGGGGGTCCTCCGGTACTGTCACGTTGTAGGTCTGTCGCATGGTGGGCATACTGCTACTGCAATAGTCCGGCTACCGGTGAAAGCCTGTACGCACGAAACGACCGCGTCTCCAGGTTTACTGTCTTGAACGCACTGGTGCCACTGAGTCAAGTCGCAACAGTAGAGACATTCATTCACAACGAGTTTTAATTCTAATAAAACTACAGCAGCGATACTGACACGCAAAGCTCGTATGCGCACCGCGTTTCTTGGATCCTAAAATTACGCGCGAGTAAAAGGACTGAATGTCAAGCGAATGGCAGGTTGTCGTTGTATTGCTCGGGTCCAGCAGGTCTGAAAGCTGTGAGAACTCTGTCCCACTGCACACGGCTGTCGCTCCTCCTCTTTTGGATCACGGACCATCACAAACCCACGTCAGCGCCACCCACAGCAGCAGACGCGGGCTTCTGCGTCACAGCGGATTGTTCTCCGCGTTTCTGGCTATTACCAAGCCGGCCATTCACTCATCCGTAACCTACCCTGCTATTAGGAGCTTTATATAAATCACGGCATTATAGACATTAGCGATGCGCGTGGGATCATAGGATGCAAATACACAGAGAGCAGCTAATAATAAACTAGCCATCTATCTGATAGTGCTATGGTTGGTTACATAAGCAACATGGGCACTATGGGATATAATCATGAACTAAGACCCTGTCCACACGAAGTCAAGCTCAGGCCTAAACGCAAAAATACTTTATCAATCCAGTGTATCGTCCATACGAGGCCGGCGTTTTGGGGGGGTGTAAACGAACATTTTTGAAAGTAGGTCCCAGAGTGGAAAGATTTCAAAACTCCGTATATGCCGCTCCGTGGTTACTGCCTCTCCGCAATGTATCTGAGAGGCTTGCGTCATCGCCCCGCCTCTTGTTAAAGCACGCATGCGCCGCACTCAGAAAATAATGACAACAACAATGTAGCTTGTTGGTTTTGTAATCCAGTGTGACCCGAAGCAACAGTTCAACCTCATCGTCCGTCCATACTAATGTAGTACCAGCTCGCCCACTCGCCATGTTGTCTGTTTACAAAATACCGCGCATGCCCACGGAAGTTTGGGCTTGATCCCGTCATTGCGTCACAGCGCCACCAACAGGTCTGGCATAGTTTCACAGCGTTTTCAGGCGTATTGACTACATTCATATGGACGCACACATTTACTGAGCTAACTCCGTGTTTACAGAAAAAGTTTCTGAAATTATAAGCGTTTTGTCTTCGTGTGGATATAGCCTAAGCAGGAGTAGTGCAGTGCAGGCCCAGTAGGAAGCAATTACACTGTTTGTAATTTTTTCAATCCAGAGCCAAAGCATAAAATGTTGCATAATAAACAAGTGTTTTGACACATGACCAGCCGAGTAGACCACTCTACCACCATAGATCTGTTTGGGTTCATCAATGTTTTGCTAGAATATAGCTTTTTTTCTTGTTTATTTTTTATGTTTTAGTTTTTGTCCCACTTATTCACCTGGTAGTTTTTTTTATTGATTTACATCCATGGTCACTAATAGGTTAGGGTAGATTTTTATAAGTGGGTGCAGCAGAAATTGATAAGATGCAGTAGGACCCGAGATGCGGTAGGAAGATAAATAAATAAAATTACCCTTTCAAGCAGGGGCCGTCATTGTCTCTGTTTGTGTGTTTGTCTGTATGGATTGGGCAAAAACTACAGGACGAATTAAACTGAAATTATGCGGAAATGTTGAGAAGATCTGTGATGTTGGCATTATAATTTGGAAATGTTTGATTTAGTCTTTTAGATACATTCGGTTTAATTTAAACAGGATTTAAATACATATATGACTCATGTGATGTGGGTAAATGCTGCATTTGCTTGAATTTGTAAACAAAGACAAAAATATTGTTGCAAAGATAGGAAATTGGCATGTGTTTCCTGCATAAAATGTGGTGAAAATAAACTTATAATACTGTATGTAATGTTTCACTTGAATCGGGTGGGCGTAGTGAATCAAAAGTCCTTAGGCGTAATCCCATGACCCAGAGACATGTGTACACAACAAACAGGCAGAAAGTGCATTCCTTCACCAAGCTGAGCACATATACGCTCAATAGAATGGAAAAGTACAAAACATAGTCTATATGTGGCCGAAGAAACCTATAGTGAACAGTGCAGGTTCTGTTATCCTTAACCAAATACTAGTCACCCTTCCAATATTTTCACAGTGTGTACATTGTCAGAGTTAAAACATTCAAATCCTTTCAGAACTATAAGTAAGTAAACACGCGAGACAGATTCATTTTTTTCTAAATCACTGTTCAAGAAAACCACATTGGAAAAACTGGTTGACAGTTAGTGCAGTTACTATGGGCAACGTTAAACTGGGGCAAAATGACTGCACTTTACACAGAGAAAAGGATGTTTGGTCAGCATTGTGGTTTTTGCATGTCAGGGCACCACTTCCTGCCAAATAGTGTGAATCAAAGCCTTTTATCATTCAAAGAGGAAGTGGATTCTTCATGTGACATCCTATTTTTCCATTGCCATTTGAAATTGCATGCTAAATTCAACTCAAGACTGCCACAATGGAACTGAACTCTTAATTTTTTTAGGAGATTGAGTTGACAAATATGATTAACTTTATCATTAATTAAACTATTTGGTTATTGTTATTCATTAATGACAGAATGTTTTGTTCAAGCAGCAAATTCTTCATGTATTGAGCTCAATTTAATGTCCCAAATTAACAGGAGCATAGCAGTAACATGTTGTGGTATCATGCCACTCTGTACATATTAAATCAGCCCTGTGGTTTGATAAGCTTCACTGACCCTAAAGCATAGCAGCTGATTATACAGTCTTACAAAACTCTCATTATTCATAGAGGTAAGCTGGTACTACACTGTGCTTTTCATTTGTTTGTAAGCCGTCTGACCGGGATATTGAGTCGGGGAGGCCAAAAATATTGCTGACTCAAAAAAAATTGAAAACACGGGAAAAATTGAGAGCAAGCTCTTGTGGGCACTACCAGACGGGTATTACTGTAGCTTAGTCTGGGGCAGCAAGGGCCTGGACCCATGTCTGCAAAAATAATTCTGTCACATGTAGGCCAAGAACTGTGTAATAATGACATGCACAGTGGATAATGTCAGCAAGGGGAATGAAGAAAGTCAATGTTGATACTCAGGGAATAGATAGATAGGTAAACACAACAACAAGCTGTTGTTTGTTGTTATTGTTTATATCTATTTTATTCATATGTTTTTGTTTTGAACAAAAGAGTGTGATTCACAGTTTCTCCTACTAGCTCTAATATAAATCTTAGAACAGGGATGGTCAAAATGTGTGTGTTTAATTTTTCTATTAGACAACCCTCTTTTCTTCATAGCTTTTATTTATCAAAACTCTTTTCAGTATAAATGTTGTTGCATGCGCTCAGAAGTTTACTATTTCTGGGTGAGATCATACCAACAGGTGGTCAGATGATATTTTCAGTTCCCATTTACATTCAACTGTGTGGTTATACGGGGAAATAGTAATTCATATTTAGCCAGTCATAAAGTAAACCCTGTCTGCTACACACACAAAAACTGGAAAACAAGTTGATGTAAGCAGCACCAGTCATCATGCTAGCAGCTTGTCTCATGAAACATAGCACAAGGTGATCTGAACCATGAGGCACTGGCAGCTGCTATTTTTGTGTTCACAGGGACAGTGTTTACTTTATCGCCAACGCTGCTTGTCCAGACCATTCCGACCTGATCACATGGTTGGAACTAAACTTTCAAGTGGACATAACGGGGAATTGCAGGTAGAGCTCAACAATTATGTCATGGAATTAAAGTTGTTGCTATGACAATGTATTCACAACAAATATATGACAGGCAATGGAAAATTGACAACACAGTTTTGAAGCCAGAGCCCGACTGTAGTCTTGTACAGCTCATAAATGTTAGATAAAGAATAAAAAAGTCAGCAGAAAAAGTTACCTTTTTGAATTGTAAAAGAGCCTTTATACATCGTAAAACTTTTTTGTGTTAAATATGTCCTGACACTAAATAATCACAGATTGTTCTTGTAAATTGCATGGGAGGGATGAGATAAATGAAAGCACTATTATTGCCTATAGTGTATAGTCTCTCTATATTCAATTGTCTAAAAATCATCATTCCAATGTCAAAAAAGCATTAGGTATTGGACCTTTTCAACAACAAAATTAAGGTATTTGCTAAAATGGCACAATGTACATTTATTTTCAATTTATATATAATGTATATTTCTAGTTTTTAAGTATCATTATTGACCTTTATTTAACTAGGAAAGTCCCATTGAATTTCTTTCTCACCATGCTGCCTTAATATCCTATCCGTGCTGCCCTATTATCCAATATCCTATCCCAATATTCTATAACTTGTCGTATTAGAAAAAATGGATTTCAATGTCACTTCCGGAGTGATCTTCTCAGACAGGCTATGGGGCCGCTTTCTTACATGGTGAACCTATTTAGGGCTAATCAACATATCCAGCGGAACTGTCTGAGCCCAACAGACGACAATATCAGCTATGCTAACAATGCAGAGCTAACCTGGAAGCAGCAGAGGGGGTGCCAAAAGAACCATTACACCTAATGACATGTCCATTTCAAGAAAGGCAAGAACATTTCTATCCACCAGGGGGAGTAGTGAAACCAAACAAAATAATTTGTAATTTAGCTAAAAGCTTGTTAAAAGTTGAGCTGTTTGTTTTCCTGTAAACATTTTTCACAGTACAAGCTAAGACAGCAATACAAAAACGTCTCTTTCTGTTCAAGTCCCATTATTTTCCCTTTAAAAATCAAAATTGGGTATGGAAAGCAATTGTCAATTTGAATAGCGGCTTCAAAGTGCTTTGTTTGCACTTGTTAGAACTAGGTTACAAGATTTTTGTATGACACGTTTTGCTAGCAAGTTTACAAGCCTATTTTGTCATAACCTTTAAAATCTAGACTTTGGACAAAATGTGTATGTGACATGAACAGAAATATAAGTTAAAGTGCTGAATAAGCTGCCCCAGAG